CAAAATTTTTAAATTGTGTATTGCTTCCATCTGTTACGACATTTTATTTTTGAAAAGTTTTTGTATTGTTATTATAAAATGGAAAAAAAAAGCTTAATTTTGGAGTAGATATTATTATTTTCACTTTATATTAAATTCGTAACGAGTAAAATCTTCATTAAATCAGACCCCACTCGAGATATGACAAATGACCACCCCTCTATTTTCCTACTTCCTCGACCTTTAACCTATCGAAATTGAGTAGCATCGATGCCCCTAATACACAAACCTCCCCGCAAAATTTCATAAATTTTCGATAAAAGGTACGCGAGTTATTAAGCTTCGAAGTGGGTGAACAAAAAATCGCGCCTCCACACACACAGAAAAAAAGCCAAATTTTTTGTATTTATGAAGGTTCCCCGGGTGTAAAAATGTGAAAATCTTGGAGGTAGTAATTTCTTTTTCTACCGATTGCCATACTTTTCCTTAAATGCAGTCTTCTGTCCTTGAATTTTGTATAGACACTGATACAAAATTAGTATCATTTTAGCAGCAATTTTATCTTTTTCTTTACATTACAGTTGTGAGATATCCTCAACTTTTGAGTGTATCTTAATGCTTTTTTATTTAATGATTTCTTCCACCGATAACCCCGATAATATATCTACACAGGCATCAAAATACATTTGTGAGCCATTTCAACGTTTACTGCATAGTATTTACACCATTATCTCAAGTAAATAAGGCTCTCATAATGTAATTTACAGGGAAAATAATTACAAATTGATTGACAGCTCCAACAGGTAATGGTATCTTATCATTTTCTTCCATACCTGAAGAAAATGGATTTCTAAATTGTTTAGCCATAACGTCATTCTATTGTGTCATATTTATGTGTTAAGTACACTAGGAAGCTACAGTTGCATGTGTATATCCTGAAGTGTTATTGAAAAATATTTATGTCTAGAGCATTGAACCCTGTGTCGAATTACCTGAAAGGTTTACTGAAAACTAAAACTAGAAGGGAGAGGGGGGAGAAAATTCCAGGTTTGTTTTCAATTCAAGGTATTGCTTATGTGTTCTTGGCAGGATACGTCATAAGGAAGAAGTGCTGTAATTTATAACCAATTTAACTTTGCTCCCGGCTATTGTGTCTCGTTTTGTGGTCTTTATTTTTATTATTTTTTCGCTTCTAGGAACGGTTTAATTCGTTATATACCTTTATTATAATATACATTATAACAGGGTATATACTATGTTACAAAAAGTGGTCATTTCAAAAAAAAGGGGGTCGAGGGTTCATTAATACAAGAGTTCTTAGCATTCGTAGCGGAAGTGTATCTACGAAGAAGGCATTTTTATAAAATTAGCCGTATTTAATTGCGAGAAAAATTGCTCCATTTGGTTTAGTGTATCGCAATCGTTTCTCGTTGTGGTCGATTTTTTTATTTTTGGCTATTCCGGTGCCGAAATGTTGTAGTGTATTATATAAAAGGTATAGTTTCCTGTTGAATTTCTGAGAAACATCTATGTAGATTGACTTCCTACATGTAAAAAATGCAAAATAGACCTATTTGGCTTCAATTTAGACAAGTCTTTGCCTAAGGTATTATAAGATATAAAATTGCTAAGTCGCGTATAAAAATAGTCTAAAGTATTAATAGATATCATTAATTTTTTAATATATAATATATTTTGTAAAAAAATCAATTTTTTTAATTGATAGATTTACCTCATATCCCATCTGTCAGTGACTTATAATTGTGGTTAATTTATTGTATTTTTACTGATTAGGTAACAAAGTAATCTTGTGTTTTATGTAAAAAGCAATTTGTACTGTCGAATTTCTTAGAAACACGTTCGTAAATTCATATAGGCCTAAACAAAAAACGACATCTCCTTTGCGGGTCTTTGTCTCTAGTTGTTTATTTTTTTAAAAAAAAATTATGAAAGTCTAAGGAAAATAAATCAAAAATAATATTAAATTCTCTAGAAAACAACGCCAAAATATCATATTACCTATAAGCAGCGTTGTATTTTAATTTAAAAATAACAAAACTCATTTTATCACAGTGAATTTAAGTGTTTCCTATGAACACTAAAATGAACTTTTGTCTCAATTAACTCGAAAACAAAGTCTAGAAGAGTAATTTATTAAATGATTTCTCATTGGTTCGTGTGCCGTAAATTCTTATAATATAATATCCCGAATAAATAAATAAATAAATAATAATATTACCATTTTGTATACGCCGTCCTGTGCTAAATTCCCAATTCGGTACGTTGAATTTCAGAAATTCTTTAATGAAAAAAACAATTTCCAACTTATGGGCAGTTCAGGTAAACGCCCTTTAAGTTACTCGAACCATACAATAACATTAAATATTAATCAAACTTAACGAATTCACACCCAAAAAAGATCTTGATGGATGAATGAATGCGAAAATAATATAATAATAATAATAATAAATATTACTGTTCTTCAGCAACCTGTCAATCCAGATGATACCTTTGCACTTGCCGCTGTGTAGAAATTAATTTTTAATACTTTTATTTAAGTATTTTTGGATAAATATTAATTTAATTAGCGTGTTTTTAGTAAACGACATTCTTCTATTATCCAATAGAAAAAAAAATTGTCACATGGAAGAAAGTTTAGATAAACCTCCCACACGTTTGTGTAATGAATGGTTAATATTAATATTAACAACTAACGCTCGAAGCAAAATATCCACCCCCAGAGGAGGAACAAGTGTAGTTTGATACGGGTGGGATGGAACTCACGTCTTTGTGTCATCTGTATTTAAACTTACAGGAGTTTGAATTTAAATTGGATTGGGTTCGAATCCTTGACTTCACACGTTTTCTCTATCTGGATCTTAGTTTATTTGGGTGAACGCGTGATTTTAATTTCGGGTGTTGCTCTTGTTAAATGATGACCTGTGTAGTATTAATGGTTCTTTTGTTGTAATTTTTCAGGTGCTCACGTAAATCCAGCAGTTACTGTAGCATTCGCCACTATAGGAAAATTCCCATGGAAGAAAGTGATACCTTACATGTTATCTCAGTATTTAGGAGCATTCTTATCAGCCGCAATATTATTTCTCGTCTATAGAGGTGAGGTGATGTTTAAACTCTTTATCTTAATACCTTAATTATCACCGTTATTACTTATGTATGACAGTTGCAACGTAACCTCAATACGTCAGATTTGTAAAAATTGAAAACGTGAAGTACAAAAGTACCGCGTTGTATGAAGTTGATACGCGATGTTACACGTTGTTACGCCATTTTGTAAAATTTCACTTAACAACTAATTGAGTTACAAGCTCAGGGGGAGGAACGACCTGAAGTTATGTTCCTTTTTTTTTATTTTTCGTAACCTTTTTCTTCGTGTGTGACTTGTAATTAGAAGTCACTCATATGTTACCATCTAAATTTACAAGTTAATTACAATTTATTCGTGTATAACATTAATTTATTTAAATTTTTATCCTCGTTAAGATGGCATCGAAGCATTCGACAAGGGGATAAGAAGTGTGCCACCGAACAGCAATGCCACTGCAAATATTTTTTCATGTTTTCCGCAAGAGTACGCTAGTACTTTTACATGCGTTATGGATCAGGTAACTTGTACATTTTGATGAGCATCTTTTACTTTAATTGTGTTCGCTAATTTACGTATATTTCTTGTACAGATCGTGAGTACAGGGCTACTGCTCGCTGCTGTATGCTCTACAATCGATGAAAGGAACATGAGTGTCCCAAAAGGAATGGCTCCATTGATGATTGGTCTCACTTTATGTGGCATTATGATGGGTTTTGGTTCCAACTGTGGTGCCCCTCTAAATCCTGCAAGAGATCTTGGCCCTAGAATATTTACTGCCATGGCTGGATGGGGAACAGAAGTGTTTTCGTAAGTCATCACCATACGTTAATTTCTATGATTAAAGAAATTATTTGGGTGCATGTTAAACTGGAATACCAACATCTCCGAATACCTTCATATTTTTTTTTCTTCTTCTTCTTCTTCTGTGATGTAGAGTGTGACACAAACTTTCTTATAATTAATTATAGAATAGATAAAGCTGTGCTAAGTGGGAATAAGTTCAAAGTTCAGAAAATTCGGTCAACGAATCTGTGCCTCGGGACCTGTCCTGACCATTTAATCGCCTGTCAGATATAGAGTCGATTGTGTATTGCTCCACCCTCCCCATTCACCTTTCTCTTTTGTTTTACGAGTCGCGACATACCTATCACTCCTTTCCCTTATTTTCTTATATTTGTGTAGAAAAAGAGGATTGAAGCACCCCTTGGCATACAGAAAATAAGGAAAAATGATAGAGGAAAGTGAAACCATGCCTTAAAAACTACTTTCCCTTACTCCACACCCCACGTTTCTTTATAGTTTAAGTAGAAAAATCAAAATGATCTGTTGACCTGATCCCTTTTTCGCTTTACAAAAAGAAAAAAAAAAAAGTGCCTCATCAGCAAATAAGGGGGTCATAATGCCCTGATTAATACTTAAATATATAATTATACAGCCAAAATTATTATTTTATAAAAAATGTATATTGGAATGTGTTTAAATGCATGATTTGTAAGAATTTTTACTGTTTTTCTAGCGTTAAATATGCGTAGAATTGGCAAATTAGGTGGTATACCTCAGTTGTTAATTATAATTAATATACAGTTGGCCTCACATTTAATTTACGGTATTGTCAGAGTGACAAATTGCCTCAACAGGTTTGCTTCTATGGCATCTGACAATAAACAGGTTGACACGAAATTATGAAAGCCTCTCTTTTTTTAATTGTTCTTGTATGGGAAATAGTGTGTGAAAACTTCCATATACAATGTGATAAGTATATCTTCCTTAAAGGATTTTATAATATCCTTATACACAAATAAACAAACACGGGAACATAACATGTTCTGTTTCTTTATATTTGAGTATTTTTTAACGGAACCAAGTATATTTCCATGTTTTATGCTGCTGAAGTGTTGGCCCACATAAAACGTTTTGTTTTTTTAAGTTTAAACGTGATAATACTGAAGTTGCAAAGAGGTCCTCCTGATCGCCCATAAGATACAAATTTCAATCGCGCGGTGAAATTTGCATAAACTGATAACAAGATTCGTTTGTTATAAGCTTTCTTTAAGAATTTTAACGTAAAAAACCTCAAAAATTCCTTTATTTACAAAGGCGTTTTTATGGCATTCATAGAAACCAATTAGGAGCATTTTCTTACCAATGGTTCCTTATTGATTTCTATGAGGTTGAGAGCTATTAAAGGAAGCCATTTTGAAATGTAGTATAATGTCATTTATTAGCTAAATGGCTCCTTAAATTTACAATCTAGAGCCACGAATTGAGGAGTAGGAGTTATTTGTAAGCAGTGTGGCACCTAGTATTTGTAAACAGCACTTTGTAACTTAGACAGATTAAGTTATTTAGAGATTAAAATTATATTTTATGCTTTCTAAAACAAAAAAAGAACATATTAAACTTACTTTCAACATTAGTTTTCTTCGTAAAACTTTAAAATTTTACAAAATATAAGAGGAAAACACGCGACAACTAGACTCCTCCTCCTCCTCCTCTGAAACAATTACATAACTCTACATTATACAAGTATATTGGGCGGAGGTATATAAGAAGAGGGACACTTTTCGGAAAAGATATCATCCTAATTACGAAATTAATCGTTATTTACATAACTCGATATCTTTATAACCACAAGTAAAAAAAATGATGATGATGAGCAGTCACGAGCGATAATGTGCACTTTTCAGAAACATGGCAGACACTGGAACAATCAAGCTTTTGTTGCAAGGGTCGTCGTTAGGGAGGATCTGCTAACTAGTCACGACTTTCCAGATTTTCATTCACTTCTATCCATTCATATATCAGGAGGGTGAAGTAGCTTGTTAAGGTTTGCTACGGGCTCATTGCGATCTAATTACGTAACATTGCATCATTTTGAATCGATTCTACTGTAAGTTTACCACTCAAATCACGAATTGTGTGAATAGAACACAAATTAAATGGGGGGAGGAATTTAGTATTTGCTATTGTCGTAATGGAAAATAGCGTACGTGAAAGGCAAATTATATATATAGGCAAATGGAGGTAGAATACGAGCAAACACAGCTGCGAGAGTAATACGAAAACGCATTTATAGGCGGAAACAGGTGCTTAATATTCGCAGATGATAATTACAATAAAGAATTTCATCGAATGTAGAAAATTATAGGGAGTGAAGAATGTAAAAATCCGAAAAAATCAGGAAAATAAGAGGAATTACGAATACAGAATGCAAAAAAAAAATGGCGCCCTCGAGAATGGAATTGCAGTTTTATGTATTAAAAAATCATTCGTATAAGTGTAAAATCGTGCAAAAAACTCAATTACAATTATAGTTATAAATACAAAATAATAATAATAATAAATATAATTAATTAAGAATATTTTTGTTTTATTTATTAGCTAGGTTGCGGCCGAAGTTTTCATCTCTCAAACGTGAACGTCGAACGTGGAGCGCCGTTATCTTGTAAGCGACGTTCGACGTTCGACGTTTACGTTTGAGAGATAAAAACTTCAGCCGCAACCTCTCTATTTATTTTCTAATTAGTGTCAACGTTTGATTTATTAAAATTTAATTTAATTTAAGGAAAAATTAATAGATTCAAAATGATTCATATAACATTAATAAATATAGGTTAAGGGCTTATTGATCTTGTTTTATTTGAATTTTTATTAATGTCGTCCTAATAATTTAATTCACGCAATTATTTATTTAAAAATAAGAGAAAAAAATGGGTCATAGATTTGATAAAAATTGAAAGTTGGGTAATTTTTACGAGAGGATGTTACAAAAATGAAGAAATGTAACGTTAAATAATCAATTTCCACATTTAAATTTTTAAATTCTATTTATATCTACCTATTGGTTAATTTTAAATCGATTATAACTAATCAGAATAAAGGGGCGTGGAATTATTTCAAATATGTTAATTAATTTAATATATTTATCTTATTAAAAATAACAATATCAAGCGATTAATTGAATATTTACGTTTTAAAAAAACATTTCCGAGCTTATTTTTCGATGTTTGTAACAAAATAATTAATTAATCATAAATTTATAATATCAAATTACCTAATTAACATAATTTATTCGTAATTTGAAATTGGCCAATAGAGTGCCAGTATTTTTTTTTTAAATTCCAATCTATTGGTCAGTTTGAAATTCGATTCGAATTTTTAAATTTTAAATTATTCTAATTAGGTAATTATACTGTTTGGTGCTTAATTAACCCTGTATTTTTAGGGGGTTTTTTAGGAAGATTTTTACTGTGTTTAAAGGATTAAATATATTTAAATTTAACGTTTCAAAGATCCTAATTTATGGCTTGGATTTTTGAATTTTTCTGTTCCACTTATCTGATTTGTAACATAAGTAGAAATGGGACAGGAAAAATGGTTACATTAACCGTGAAGAGAGTAAAAACACAGGAAAATGGAACTGATATTGGTTAACGGCAGATGACTGATAACAGGAACAATGTCAAGGGTAGATAACGACAAAACCTTGGATGTCTCTCTTCAAAACATACAATGCACTATTATAATTATATGCCATGCTACTATTCATGTTCAACCATGCCATAAGTCCACTAAATAGTAAAATTATATTCATTCCTTGAATTTTATTATTATAGTAGTAATAGAATATCCGTTCTACTATTGTAACCCATAATTTTCAATCTAGGGTTTTTACTAATTTGCAGATGATTGAATTTTTAAGTAAATCGCAAGCATATAAGACCCTTGACATTGTAATTGCCCTCACGTATTTGTAATTGTTTAATTTTGAATGCGATCATGTCATTTTCATATTTGGTGTTCTAGTTAATGCTATTTTAGCGATTTATTGCTTCATTTTTCTATAAACTAGTTCGTGTTTTGAGGAAAATTCGAATGTCATTTACATTATTTCTGAGAAATTTCTTTTATATATATATATATAAGTTACTGTATATATTAAGTAACTTCTGGATAATATTGTGTGATGACAATGCAATTACAGAGTATGATCTTGATGCTATTAAGTAAGTAGATCAAGTAATCTTCTTGAAAAATCATTTATCTATATTTATATATATATTTTTTCTTTTTATAGATTATCGGAAATGCAGGGATTGCAGCTATAGTGCTAAATGGTTTAGGAAATGTAGGAGCCATTGTTATCCCATTAAGTTGGGGACTTGGACTTACCTTTGCCATATTAATCTGTGGAGGAGTATCAGGTAATTAAATCTATTATAAGTGAAGTTTATAACGTGAAACTCTAAAAAAAATCTTGCAACGAGTTGCGTAACTTTCCCGGCCAAATTTTTAAATTGTGTATGGCTTCCATCTGTTACGACATTTTANGGATCATCCTTGCTCTTCTAGGGTCCTCACTATGCTTCCTGGATCATTATTACTCTTCTAGGGTCCTCACTATGCTTCTGGGACCATCCTTATTCTACTAGGACCCTTATTATGCTTTCGGGCTCATCCTACGTTACTGGGATCTTTATAATACTTCTAATATCACCGTCGTCTTTCTGGGATCATTATCCTTCTAGGATCGATACGAATAATATGAAATTATAAACTTTATTAAAGTTTACACTTCATAATTCATTTAGGATCAGAGGGAAAAATCTAATTTATTATCTTATCTCAGGATCAGTTTATGATCTAGGAAGCAAAAACAAAAGAAAAAACTATATGAAAAGAGATGTATCTGTATTATAATATACGTAATTACGGGGTAGGAAGAATCGTCATCATTAAAATCATTTTAAACTTGTTCTAAATTACGGGTGGATCCAGAATAAAAACGGAATAATTACTTTCCTTAAGATTTATAAAAATAATACAAGGGTCATCTCT